TTTAGTGAGACAAATGGCGTCAAATTCCCGTTCAGAAGATAAAAAACACCTGGAAATGAGTAAAATCCTTGCAACTCTTTGTTTTTTTTTTCAACTTTCCACTACGAAGTTAAATATTTGGCTCCAGCCCCACGCAGATGCGCTCAAAAATATGAGCTTGCAACTCTCCGATTTGGTAAAACTGATAACTGACGGAAACAGTACACCTTCGAAATGACAGAACAAAACTCGGGTTGCATTTCGTTTGCCACAACAATCGATTCTCTGTGTAGCAGCCAGTTCAGATGCTCAATATCGCATTGCTGCACGTTAGCTGATGTTGGCCGTATACACAATGACAAGATCTAAAAAAAACAATGCAATTTCAGGAGGGATATGCATCACAGCAGCCAATCTAACAGCAAGGAAACTTTTTTAAAAATCCGCACCAGTGGAAGTCATTAATAAACCAAGGCTGGAACGCATTAGGCCTGCCGGTGCGATCATGCGTTTTTGCACTAAATTCGCGAATCGCTAACAGCAGGAATAATTCCTGCGCTGCAGCCAACACTTGGGCTCATACTGGCCATGCTTTGGTCTCTTCAGGCATGCAGCAGAATGGGCATCAGTTGGAATGAAGGTGTTAAATTATAGAGCTGCATGGACTTCCAGGTACATGATTACCAATTTTTTGCATGAAGCTCGGTCGCTTTTTCGATAAATGCTCGCTTTTTGAAAAAATGAACCCAGGCTGGAACGCACCGAGCGGGCCCGTGCGATCACGCGCTTTTGCGCTGGACTTAAAGCACTCAGGTCATTAACTGCGTGAATGGTTGTTGCTGAACACCTACCTTTTGCGGTCATTAGCGTAAATCACCATAAATTTCGCATAAAGCAAATGTACAATTTCAATATAATAGTGAGAAATTTTTTCACCAGAACTTTTAAGTGCCCGCACGTAAGAACCACGCATACCTCACGACTGAATTCAAAATATTTAAGACAGGGAACACTGGACAGGGAACATTCCCCTAAAATTTCAGCTTTTTAGCTTTTCTGACTTCCGGGTTAGTAATTTTCCCGCAAAAGCTTTCATACGCCCTTAATTGAATACTGCGCATAGCCTGGGGGCTGGATTTGAAATATTTGAATTGTACTTGGACAGGGGACATCCCTCCAAAACTTCAGCTTTCCAGCTTTTCTGGTTACCGAGTTAACAATCCCCCGCCAAAACTTTCATACGCCAGCACGTGGGTACTCCACGTGTCTCTAAAGCTGAATTTGGAAATTTTGAATTACACGTAGACAGGGAACATTACCCCACAATTTCAGCTTTCTGGCTTCCCTGGTACCCGAGTTAGCAACTTTCCCGCTAAAACTTTCAGACACCTTTACGTGAGTACCACGCATACCTGGGGGCTGAATTTGAAAAGTTTAGCTAGTACATGCATAGGGAATATCACTACAAAGTTTCAATCTTTTAGCTCGTGTGGTTCCCGAGGTCGTTTTCCCGCCGAAAAATTTGCGCATTTTTTTAAAGCGTCCGTACGCGGCAATCAGGTGTTCGCGGCCGACGAAATTGAAAAGGGAAGGTCGCGCATGGTATGGGCACATATTCCCAAAGTTTCAGCCTTCTAGCTTTTCTGTTTCTCGAGTTGAAAGTGGGTGACAAAAAGTGCGAAC